GAGAAGATGACCGATCAGTGCTAAGTCCTAAGGAGAAGATGACCGATCAGTGCTAAGTCCTAAGGAGAAGATGACCGATCAGTGCTAAGTCCTAAGGAGAAGATGGCCAATCAGTGCTATACATGATGCAGCTTCACAAATGGGTCTGAAAGAAGAGCTACTAAGTAAAATGATTATTTTCAGCAGATGTGAATGACTAGTCAAGTGTTTGACAGCAAGATCTTGTGAGGTAGACAATATAGCTAAAAGAATGTGGACACCCCTATTAATTAATTAATTAAACAAATTTTACCAATTAAGCCACACCCATAGAGCACACAAGTACACAATTATGCAATCTTCAGTGACAAACACTGGCAGAATAATGGGTAACTTTCAGCTTGGCACCATAATCTGATGCTGTTTTTCCAACAAGCCCGTTTGCCAAATTTCTGCCCCGTTGGAGATGCCCTGGTCAACCTCAAGTGACTGTGAAGTGGAAACATCTGAGACCAAGTTCGGCCGGGAGGTGTTCGACCATGCCAACTCGCAGGAACGGACCTAATAACCCAACATCAATACCCAGGCTGAGTGGCAGCAAATCCCACCAGCAATGTCCCAGCATCTAATGGAAAGGCTTCCCAGGAGAACAGAAGCTATCAGAGCAGCACAGAGCACAGCAACTTCATATTAATATCCTTGGCATCAGAATGCGATGTCAGACAAGTTGGTGTCCACATACTTCTGGTCATATAGTGTACCTTTGGTCATATAGTGTACCTTTGGTCATATAGTGTACATGATTATTGTTAGGAAAGGTGGTAAATCTGAGTAGAACTAACTGAGTGTGGCTGATTACTGACGTCAGTGATTCATGACCTGCTCAATGACGGCAAGGTACTTTGATTCCTGCAGTTTTCTGAAGAGGACTGGATTTGGATGAACTGCTCCAGGGTCCAGGTAAGGTGTATAGCCGCTGAGTATATAGGATAAGCATATTCCAGATGGTCCATTCCCTGGGAATACAGGAGCAGAGTCCGCTCTTATTTTACATTTCAAAAGTGAGATAAATGCAGGTAAGTCTAAGACACAGCAGACACAAGAAATTCCGTGCATGCAGTGATTTTTTTTTAAATACAGGGTTTTATGTCAATTATAGAAAAATGATGCAGGACAAAAGGAGAAATCTACTGGACAAGCTTTTATCCTAATGGACAGACAGTAATTATTCTTTTGATTGTTAAGTTAGCTAATAACTAATTCAGTGGCATTATTTCATTTCATTGATCCATCCATCCATCTTCTAATTGCTTATCCGGAGATCGGTCGCTCCATCCATCCATCTTCTAATCACTTATCCTATTCAGGGTCAGAGGTTGACCTGGATCCTGCGTTATCGATTTAACCTACTGCTTTTTTTATCTGAAATAGTTTCCACCAGCCTTATTAGAAATGACATCTTCCGGGCCCTTCATCTTAACTCCCCTGCTGTGATTTGTATTAATGAATGTGTTCAGTTCATTTGACGAGAGTCTCACCGATGATGATCACTGGCAGAGTAACGGGCTGCTCCCCAAACAGAGAGTTTTCCTCCAGGAAGGGCATCGCGGCAGCCAGAGCTGGCACTGGCCACCAAGGGTCTGCTCTGTCACTGCATGCAATGGAGATGACAGCCATCAAGTACTGCATTTACCACCTATGGGTCAGAGTAATGTGCAAACTTCAGTTTTATCCATCAGGGTTGCCAACTCTCATGCATCTGGCGTGACACTCATGCGTTCTGACTCTCACAAGCAAGAAATCTTATGGCAAATCTATATCATTCCATTATAAACCGAAATTTATCTACATCAAAAGCGTCCAGGCTGTTGCAAACCCTACAGACTATTTACAAGGTAATGAAACTGTAACATACTGTACATGTATCTGTGTGTGCAGACTGGTCTCGAATTGAAAATCTCATGCCAGCCAGCTGACCAAAGTTGGCCACCCTGTCCCATTAGTACATCATTGTTAGGTGCACTATACAGCAGAATGTATAAGGACACCCCTATTTGAGGAATTTGGCTAATTAGGCCACACCCATTGCTGACAGAGGTATATCATCAGTATGCAGGCATGCAATCTCCTGCAACAGTGCCATCAGAATGTGTGAAGTTAGGGGCTTTCAACTTGGCACCATAGAAACATAGAAAGTTTCTGCCCCGTTGGAGATGGGTTAGGGTTAGGGTTAGGGTTAGGGTTTAAAAAAAACCAACACCGCTTGCATTCTTCCTCAGATAATCAGTCATTAGCCTAGAAGACAGGTAAAATACAGAGAATCCGGAATTTTCCACAATTTATTAACATTCCGAAAACACACCACAGTAAGAGTGAATTATCTTGCCTTCACAGAATGCTGGCTTCCCTGGGGACAGAATTAAAGCAGTTCATGACTGCAAGATCTCCATACTAACACCGATACAAACTGTGGTCCAATTTATCTTCCCACGTTAAAGTTCATTAGTGCAGAGTCATCGCACTGCAACAAAAGCAAATTATCAAAGGCTCAGACGTGGGGCACTGATGTGCCATTGTGCACTGAAAGACACAAATCCCTGTGATCACACAGTGTGCCAAATTATCCGCACGCAGCTCTATGTCTGCTTTGTGTGCTGTGACATGTACCAGCCACACTTATTTTACCATTGTTGTTGTTGTGTATATTAATTTACACCCTTATTTATACTTTTCCTTTAAAGGGTTGTCATTCTGTGGATTATTAAATTCTCTGGATCATAGCGTCAACTTCGGTGGCCTCTGGCTTTGGGCCTGAAGCTGGTATTTTCACATCCCTTCACAATTTAACCCTCTCTTAACCACATTCACTGGGGTTTTCTCATGAAGCGCTGCTGTTCGGTTGCCTTTAATTTGCCTGCTGCTGCTCTTGTATAGATGCAAACAGCGTCACTGTCACAGGATCGGTCCCCACCAGCTCCACCGCGCTGCCAGCACCGCCCACAGCCTTACTCTCTACATACCTGCTACGGTGTCATGCTAAAATTCACAACCCTCTTTAGACATTTCATTTTGTGATACTCCACCCCTGCATGACGTTTTCCATCCATCCATCCATCTTCTGTAACCACTTATACTATTCGTGGTCACGGGGGACGTTTTCCATTAAACCATTTAAAAGTTTTCCTAATGTAAAATATGATCCACAGAATCACACCATGTGTCACTGTAGTCATGGCTATGTTTAAGCGCTGTGTAAAGTTTCTAAAGTGCGCGAACTAACCGATGAAGTCAGTAGATCACAACAGGGTTAAAACAAGGCATATTGACGGCCTTTGGAAGCCGGGCGATAAGCAATTGTCAGCTGGAGTTATTTTCGCTGAATGGCAGTGGTATGTGTTGATAAAGGGGATGCTGGCGATGGTCTGCGAGGCTGGAGGCTGCCCGCACCGCGGAGACAGGAATGCTGACCCAAAGCAAGACAAGTCAAGCGTGGTGGACAGACAGCTCAGGCCGTCGGGTCTCTGGGTTCCTCACTTCATAACGAATCCATCCAACTATAATGTCTGTGAAATTTCTACGGAATTCTGTTTTACAACAGTAAATCAAACAATGTAAATATTAACAAAAATATGTATAAAGGCACGTGTAAAATATCATTAAGATTAAGCTTACTTTTTAATTATCTGAAGCTAAGCGAAGTGTTAGCTTTTTAAAAAAATGTAAAATGTAGGACACCGTGCAAATTGATTTATACTTCTTTTTGACAAGAAATACAGAAGTAATAAACTTTTACTCACTAGTACCAATGACCATTTTAGAGTACAAGTTACAGATTGCCATTCTCAAAAAAAACCTCAGGTAACAGTGTTATTGAAAGTGAAATGTAGTGTACTATAATACATACTTATTGATACTATTAATACTGATTTCTGTGAGATCGTGACTTGCAGCTGCGCACACTTTCGCGGGGACCCGTGTTCCCCGTGATCTCCCTGGTGAACCCTTAGCTGGGTGTGAGTGTCGCGCGCTTACAGCCCCCGAAGATTACGTAAAGGAAGGCAATAGCGGACCCTTTATTAATTCGCAACTCTTAAAATGGTAAGTGCAGCCCCAGCCGCTGTCTGTTTCCATGGCCGTGGAAGTGTACACAAAATGCATGAGGAAATCGGAAATCTAGGCTATGGCACCAGCTCTTATCAAATTTAGGTCACGTTCACGGTCATTCTTCCAATACCAGACGGTACATGAAATCCTTTTTCATATCCACTTACCTCAGCGCAGTTGTATTTCCCAAGCGCAATCCTTCCTGCTCCGGTAGTCCGATGCCTGCTAATTCTAAGCAGCATAAATAGCGCTGGTCATTAGTGGGAGGATCGATCAGAAGTCATGAGATTACATGATCCCCCCTTCTCCACGGATGCCACTACTGCGGGGTAAAGTGGACACTATCGAGTGACGAAATCTGTCATCGGCGCCCCGAATACAAAGCTAATATAAAATACATTCTGAATAAAAGCTCCGTCCCAAAAATGTGGCGCCGTTCTGAACTGAAAATAACCAGGATGTAATACAGAGCATCAAATCAGTCCGTGATTCTCCGCCGAAGTGGAGCAGGAGCGCAGATCCTGCAGACCTTCTGATCTCTGCTGAGACGCTGCACATTAGACGTTCTGCGAGGATTCTTTTAAAGGGGGGACATTTAATTAATAAAATAAAACAGATAACAGGGCTACAGGCTTCACAATAAAAAACGATTTTGTAAAAATGTGTGACTATTATCTCCTGTAACAGTATTTCCTGCTATAGTAAGTATTGTAAAATTTGCATTGCAAGTTAACAAATGTATCTTGTTAAACATAATTACGGTAGATATAGTTTAAGCCAAGTTATGTAATTTAACGTCACTTGATTAGAGAATTATTGGCTAATTAACATTACTTTATTAGCGCACAAAGGGCATTCTAAAACGGTATCTAATAAAATTAATAAAATCATAAGACACATGCATACCCCTGACCCCTGTATATTTCATTATTCCCCCATGCTTTTCATTTTCATTCATTTTTGCCTTCACTAAAATTGTCCCTTTTATTGTTCCGTACCCGATGTATTATGTGTTACTATAGTGACTCCCACGCTCTACCAGTGCAGCAAAATTGATCTGTGTTACCTTAACTAAAAATACATATATAAAGAAACAGTTTTCTGCAAATATTTAAAGAGTGCTGTGACTCATAAGCAGTAAACGTGGCGCTATGGTTAAAATCTTAGGTGACACTGGCCCATACGTTTGTTTACTGTTTCAGGTTTCTATATTTAGGCTTTAATTTAATTACTGTGCTGTCCATGACAGTCATGCCCAATGACTTTCAATTATTATTTAGAGTTGACTCTGACTGTTTTTCTGTCTGCGATATTCTCCTGTACGCCTGCTTTTGCCTATAGACAGCAAATAAGACATGGTGAGTGTCAACTGAAGGCGTCCTATTAAAATGCTTAATTCAGTAGGTATATGTGCAACAACAAAAGAAGAAATGATTGATTTTTAAAACGTGACAGCTGTGAGGAAAAAACACCGCTAGTTAAAACACAAAAGAATTGTAATTTTCACAATGGCTCCAAAACACATTTCATTATTTGCTTGTTTTGACTGATCTCCCCAGCCCCCCTCTCACTACCCTGTGGCCTGTGTATTCTGAGAATGTAATAGGAGAGGGGATTTCTACAGCGTCTATAGCAATCCAAGCAAAATAAAAACTCCGGACTTTTAAGTGGTAATTTATCCAGTACGTGGTACTTTGTAAAGAGGTTCTGCAATGAAAATGTGGTGTCTTACTGCAGAGGAAACTGCGCTGTCCTTGTTTTACTCACAGAATTATTCAGTTCTCGTGTGTAAATTTGGCTGTGGATGAACATGACCGCAGCTGAACTAGCGGTCATTGAAAAGGAGGGATTTATCCATCCAGCTTCCAGGTGTCCATCCTTGACAGGGTCAGTGGGGGTCGGGGGGGGTGGGTCAGAGCCAACCTTAGACAGAGTTACTACCTGAACAGGATCCCAGTCCATGAGTGGCAATTAAACTGCTTGTCTTTGGACCCACTCTGCCAACACGAAGGGGCAGATTTGTGTTCCTCCATCCAGCTGCAATTTGTTCACCTTGAATATGTAAAGGACCTTCCTTTGATGTGCGGTCTGTCAGTCATGTTAGTCATGCAGTGAAACCCTCAGATGTGGCGGCGGGCAGCTAGGCAGCCACTCCGTAATCAACCTCAGCAAAATAATCAACAAAGCGGGAATCAGAACACGCCAGTGTCTCAAAAAACCTGCCGACACACACAAACATCTGAGCTCTTTTGGACTCTGTCATATCAGTTTTATAGGGGTGTCTGTTTATGTACCCTGTAAACATTTGGGGTTCATCTGGCATGAAGCATTACTGACCCCGGTGTTAGATTTAATTTTTATGTATTTTGTTATACATGTGACTTATCACAGATTAAAAATGACTGGAGAATGTAATGATACGCAGATTAGGTATTTTTCTCAGTTGCACATGAAAACCTTAACCAACAGCCTAGTGTTATTCCCTGCCCCTGTGCTGTGTGAGTGTGTGTGTCTTCCAGTGTGGAATGGATGCTGGGAATTTGTTCTGTTCCTTTATTAGGCGGATGATGCAGCTCTGGCTGTTATGGCAACACCTGCAGTGATGGATGAGTTAGATGAACGGCAGGAACATCTGAGTCAATGACCTACAGTGACCTTCTAGCACACTTTTGCCAAGTCTGGTATTTTATCTTCAATTTCAATTTCCAGACAGTGTGAATGAAATAACAACATTGACTCCCAAATCGAATTTGCCTCATTAGACGGAGCGGCTCTCTATGGGGTGATCAGGGTTTTATAATAATCAGGATCACACAAAGGCGCTAAAAATAGCCAGGGAGGTGCTCAGTGCTAATGACTCTGTTTACTAAATATGTATTATTATCTAAAAGTAAAGAAATACAGAAACAAAAAAGTTTAAGCATCAATAATCTTTAACAGTGATGAATGACTGATTGATTACTGACTAAAGTCCCCGTAGATACTGATGCCTCTACAGCTGATGATGCTTTATATCCTCCTAAACCTTCCCCCTCGTCACCCCGTTCACCCCACGGACATCACGCTGTATAAATGACAGACATTTGGGAGCCTCAGTCATAGTCCAGCTGTGTATTACCTCCTCATTTTGAAAAATAAAATGGAATTAATGCCTCAGCAATGTCCACACGGCAGAAACACACACACAAAATGTTAGCGAAGCAACTACTGTGTTTTCTTTTCAGAGGTGGAAAGTTTCGGTCCAGAAGGTAAAAATCCAGACCAACATTTTGTTTCAACCAACCAGTTGAGCATGAAAAGTCATAGAGTTACTCAACTGGTTGGTTGAAACAAAATCTTGATCTGGATTTTTACCTTCTGGATCTGAACTATCTGCTTCTGCTTTTTCTCTTGAATTTCTAGCTACTCTGCCCTACAAAGAGACAAATGCACAAGTCATTCTGGCTCCACAAGCGCTTGCCCTTATAACGCCTTAAAACACCGTGCAATGACACATTAAGGAGACAGGATTCTATATGTGCCATCCAGAAGCGAAGACACTCACACTGTCCTGTACAGAGCCCTGCCATTGACAGAATACTTCCTCTTTGCACAGCTATATCAGTGCTCCACTGCATACCTCCCAGCCCGTGTGTGTGATCCAGACAGCACACAGTAAGCATACAGCTCCCAGAAGCGCTGAGCCAGGTCCAAGAAGAGATCATTGTGCCTCTGGTGCTGAGACAGCTTCAGGTGCCTCATGAAGTCCCAGAGGCTGACCACCGTGGCCGCTACACACAGCATATTCATCTGGATCACTGGGTGTCTATCTCTCCCTTCGGGAAGGCAGTTCAGGTGAACGCAGTGACGAGAGCCAGCGAGCAGAGGGAGGCAACATCTGCCTTGATGGGGCATCATCATGAACACTACGGTCTAAGGAAGCATCAAGCTTTCGTTACCCACTGTGTCATGGCTGTATACACTGCAGGTTGTATAACATTGCCACCAAAATTGTATGTTATTTCACCTGTTCGGATCACCAAATATCACTTTCCAAAGCAGTGAAATTTAGGAGTTCAATCACAGAAGTAAGAAAGAAATGTATTAAACTTTTTTGTAGCCTGAAAAGACAATACACAAGGCATTATGTAGTTTCCAGATGTAGATATCTACTTAACGGTTACTATTGATAATAAGGGGCTCATTATAGACACATTATAGACGCAATGCTTATTGCGTATCAGAGTTAAATTTTATATAAACGTGCACTTACATAACTACGTAATCCTTGGATATAGATAAGACTGAAATAACACGATTAGGTAGCTTGGACGCGTTCCAGACAAGGACGAAAAACCGCTGCAGAAACTGGCACTGCAGTTGTTATATACTAGTGACCGCCTCCAGACTCGTCATTGCATTGTATTAGCAAGCCTGTTGACGAATAGAGACGTGGAGCCAGCGGTCACCTAGTGCGTGACTTCTTGATCGGATCATATCTATACCGATTTCCACGCCGAACAGTTAGTGACATACAGTACAATATTATTACCTATATAAGCAAAATATTGTAAGTTTTTTAAAAATTCATGCGAAAATGTATGGAGTGACCAACGCCAAATTAATGCCATTATTTTCATTATAAAGGGGTATACGTTAGTTGAAAAGACAAAATATTTAAACACTGGGAATGCCAAACTTTGATTTTTTTTAAGTCGAAGCCCAGTTTTTAAGCAGCAATGTCTTAATGTGCATAATGTATAGCAACTGGAAATACACTACTTGAGGTTTCATAATGGTTGGTGTGTACTGTTGCCTCACACCTCCGGGGTTGTGAGTTCGAATCCCACCTAGGCTCTGTGAGGTTAGTTTAATTAGCGTCCCTAAATGTATCCTGCCATGGAGCTGCGTCCCGCCCATGATACCCCAGTGCTGTATGTTAAGGTGCTTGGAATAAGCTCCCTATACCCCTGCGACCCCGACCAGAACTAGCGGATAGAGGAATAATGATTTTATCTTCACTTGCCAGAGCGCAATGCGTGGTCGCGATAACACGCGAGAACGAGTCTGGGTTTCCATTGGTCTCTGTGTGATTGACGCTGAGCTCCTCCAATGGGCTACCCCCGAGGCGTGAACTTCCTGTTTCTCAAAAACGTGTGGTCTCGTAATTTCGGGGATGTTTCGAATGTATGGTGCTGGAATAATGAGCTGTAATTTATCTTACGGAATGGTCTTTTAAGAATAGCGTGAACGACAGCTACAGAAAAGAACATGGTTTGGATCAGTCGTGTTTGTCTGAGGAAGGTTTGTGTGACGTATCAGTTCTGGCTGGGTGTACATGCGAACATTTGGCGTCATTGGCTTCTCTCCTTTGGCAGCGCAGAGGATCATTCCACCGTTATAGAAATTTATTTTGATCCTCCTCTTAACCCCTTTGAATGTGGTTCCCATTTCAGAAAATGTAATGTTTCAGATCCATTAAGGGAAAAGTTGAGGTGTCAAGGTCAGGCGAATTGGTTTAAATGCAGGGATCTGCTCCCCAGTACGGCATTAAGCCGAGAATTGAATGAGCTGTCAGCTGTATGGAGCCATGTGGTATTTATACCGGAGGACGGCGCCCTGGCGTGGCGTTGGGACTGCCGGGATTGACCGCTGGAAGGTGGTCTGGCTTTCCGTTCAGCCTGAGGGATCGAGGGATGGAGGAAACATTCAGCAACGTATATAGGCGGATTGAGAATATTACATTTTTAAATAATAATAATAATACAGCTTTATTGGTTGTAATTACTGATAGTACTCTTTGTAAGAGTAGTACTGAAATACTCTATTTTCTGAATACATGGGCAAATAAATGTCATGAAATAGTTTTGGAAAAAATAAGATTGACGGAATTGTGGTTGAATTTTGGAGGAACCAGGTTTGCCTCGTGTACCCCTGTCCAGCTGCTGTAGCCCTGTCTCCTCTTCTGCCCGCAGTACGGCGGCTTTGTGGACAACCTCCGGCTGTATGTGAAAGGGGGCAGCGGAGGCATGGGGCTGCCCCGCCTGGGGGGCCAAGGAGGGAAAGGCGGCGATGTGTGGGTGATAGCCAAGGAGAGTATCACTCTGAAGAAAGTCAAGGATATGTACCCCCAGAAGAGGCTGGTGGCAGGAGTTGGCACCAACAGCAGGTAAGGCTGCCTTTATTAACCGGAGAGGGTGCAGAAAAAGCTGATGGACTGGCATCCTGACCAGGGTCTCTCTGCCCCCTGCTTGCTTTACTCTCACTGCGACCCTATAAAGACATCCTGTTGGACCGCTCAACCCTGCTGCTCTTCTTAGCAAGACAGTGAGAGAGACATGATGTCACGTGTTTACAGTCATCCTTAGGTCACCGAGGTCCCCCTGCCCCCCAAGGTCGAATCCAGAGCAGTCGACCAGAAATTCCTCATCCTTGAAGAAACTGTCACCTCATTGGCCTTTTCAAGAAAATCAAGAGTTTAGTGTGTGGACTTAAGTGGGATGAGCTAAATTAATCAAAATAAATTGAGCTCATTGATCAAAAGCAGTGGCATCCTGCATAGGACACCTGTGCATAGAACATGAATGAGTGATTGTATTATTTATAATGGCTTTCTTACTTTATATATACAGCGGTTTATGTAATAGTTATAAAGTTTGAAGCTCACACTGGAGAATATGTGGGACGTGCGTGAGCTGGATGATGAGAGGCTCCTTAGAGCAGGGAGCTGCTCCATGTCTGAAGAGGGACCTTGACTGGAGGCTTCCTGCCCCAGAGGCTCTTGCTGCTGCACCCTTGAGCAGAGGACCTGGCCTGAATCTCATCACCCAACATGCTGATCTAAGGGCCAGAAGACGCCTGGAAAAAAGACCCTGGGCAGGCCTGCTTGGGGGGGGGGATGGGTGCTGGATTGGGCTGGGCAGCTTTGGGGGGGGGGGGGGCTTTGGGGAGGGGTAGCCTGCTGGTCAGACTCCCTGATCTCGTCTATTTCAGCATCCGCGCTCTGAAGGGCGACAAGGGAAACGACCAGCAGGTTTTTGCCCCGACCGGCATTGTTGTCACCACCGACGACAGGAGAATTCTGGGTAAAGCCCCCGTCGTGAACCTGTCGCCTTGTCTGTTGACACCGTTTGTGGGGTCGGCATTGCCTGAGTGAGGGAGTCTGACTGCATGGTGCTGCCCTGACTGGCAGGGGAGCTGAATGCTGTGGGCGATAAGGTCCTGGTGGCACGAGGAGGTCAGGGCGGGTCCTTCCACATGGGATACCTGCCCAATAAAGGCCAGGCTCGGCACATCCGGCTGGACCTGAAGCTGATTGCCGACGTGGGCCTGGTGGGGTGAGCAGCCTGTCTGTCTGCCTGTCTGTCTCTCTGTTTGTCTGCCTGCCTGTCTGCCTTACTGTCTGTCTACCTGTCTGCCTTTCTGTCTCTTTGCTTGTCTGTCTGTCTGTGTCTCTGCTTGTCTGCCTGTCTGTCTGCCTGCCTGACTGTCTCTCTGCTTGTCTGCCTGCCTGTCTGCCTTTCTGTCTCTTTGCTTGTCTGCCTGTCTGTCTGTCTGCCTGTCTGTCTCTCTGTTTGTCTACCTGCCTGTCTGCCTTACTGTCTACCTGTCTGCCTTTCTGTCTCTTTGCTTGTCTGTCTGTCTGTGTCTCTGCTTGTCTGCCTGCCTGACTGTCTCTCTGCTTGTCTGTCTGTCTGCCTGTCTGTGTCTCTGCTTGTCTGTCTGTCTGCCTGTCTGTCTCTCTGCTTGTCTGTCTGTCTGCCTGCCTGCCTGTCTACCTGTGCTCTGCAGTGCCTTGGCACCACTGTCAGCATGGAGAAGTAGGACGAGCCTGTTTTAGTCCAGCTTCTCTGTCCCCCAAGGTTTCCAAATGCGGGTAAATCGTCACTACTGGCTAAACTGTCCCACGCCCGGCCTCAGGTCGCCAGCTACCCATGTGAGTGCTCCTGGTTTTCTTCCTTTTTTTGGAACATTTATGTTCCTGTATCTCTGAACAGTTTGGTTCTTGGTTATTTCCTGATTGCTGTCATATTTAAAGACGGACGTGTTTGTTTGCACTGAAGGCCAAAACACGGCTTTGCATTTACTTTTTTCCAAATCTATTCTTAGTGCTTTACTCTTCAGCTGATGAATTTAAGTGCATTCAGTGAAAATACTGACCCGTTTCATCTTCCAGTCACCACTCTAAGACCAGAACTTGGGAAAATCATGTACAACGACTACAAGCAGGTAAGACCAGGCAGAAGCCGAGGTCTGTGGGGTGAGGACAAGGGCCTGGTGGGGGGGTTAAATCAAGATAAAGTTCTGCTTATTCCGTACTGTGAAGTACCTTCTATTTAGTTAGGTAGCTAAGATGTTTAACCAGAGAGCTATTTCATTTATTTAGTTCACCTAAGCGATTACAGTTAAACCTCTATGTGTGCAGTGAACCTGCTCAGGTCCTTAACCAGTGCGCCCTCTACTGGTCATATTAATATTTTCTAGGTGTCTGTAGCTGACCTTCCAGGGCTGATTGAAGGTGCTCACATGAACAAGGGCATGGGCCACAAATTCCTGAAGCACGTGGAGAGGACCAAGCAGCTGGTGTTTGTGGTAGGAGTCCCTGCTTCCTGCGGCTGGCGCTGTGATGTTAGAGGGATTCCACATGTGCTTACATTAAACAGCTCATGTTCTCCCTCCCTCCCTCCCTTCTTCCCTTCTCCCTCCCTCCCTTCTTCCCTTCTCCCTCCCTCCCTTCTTCCCTTCTCCCTCCCTCCCTTCTTCCCTTCTCCTTCCCTTCTTCCCTTCTCCCTCCCTTCTTCCCTTCTCCCTCCCTTCTTCCCCCCTCCCTTCTTCCCTTCTCCTTCCCTTCTCCCTCCCCCCTCCCTTCTTCCCTTCTCCCTCCCTTCCTCCCTTCTTCCCCCCTTCCTCCCTGACCCTGCCCTGACCCCACCCCCACCCCCAGGTGGATGTCTGTGGTTTTCAGCTTTCAGCCAAATCCCCGTTTAGAACAGCGTTTGAGACAGTGCAGCTCCTGACCAAGGTAATATCTGCTTGTATGTAACGGTACTAAAGTGTATCATGTATGTAGATTTTCTTTTGTGAGGAGATCAGAATGCCTGAAATCCAGTGTTGGGCATTTCAGGTCCAGAAACTACAAATCCAGACTGAGATTTTGTTTCTACCAATCAGTTGTGCGTTAAGGTGTCACAGTCACAGAGCACTCAGCTGGTTGGTTGATTTGTAGTTTCTCGACCTGAAATGACCAACACTGATAAAATCTGCTTATAAATACATCTGTCTTGGCAGGAGCTGGAGTTGTACAGTGACGAGATGCTGTCCAAGCCAGCATTTCTTGTGCTCAACAAAATGGATCTTCCAGATGCAGAGCAGAAGCTGGAGGAGTTAATGGGACAGCTTCAGAACCAAAAAGGTACCATAAGAAGATCTGGTTATTCCTCCGCCAGCCGCGTGGTTTCTTATGGACCTGAACAGAGATGCTGTGTCTTAAATACCCCTGAGTTTTACTCAAAGGTCTCTTTGCCAGACTTTGCCCACTTGCTGCCTGATGCCATGGTGCCGAAGAGCAGTTTGTCCTTCAGGCAAATCCTGCCTGTCTCTGCGCTGACCGGGCACGGCATCGAGGATCTGAAGGCCTGCATCCGGCAGACGCTGGACGAGCAGGCCGCCGCAGAGACAGCGGACCTGCACCGAGCTTGTCTACAGGAGCTGCGGGAGACGGCGTGGCCTAACTCACCCAAAGACTCAACTGGCACAGTCTGACATGCTCCCCTCTGGCTAGGCGCTCGACTCACTTGGTCTGATGCATTTCAAAGCCTTTAGGAGCCTGCTTAGCAATGGCGAGGTACGTCACTTGTTTGGAGTGCAGTGCGGGACCCATCTCTGAGGATCGTTTGCTTTGGTCTGAGTGAGTCAGATGCTCTAGTGCGTCTCACTTGCTCTAGCCGGGCGGGGCCTCTTTAGCTGTGAAATAACTGTTGTCGCTGTCGAGTATAACATCATGAACAGCTGAGTTTTATATGCAGCAGGGGGACAAATACTTATAAATGACCAAGACCCATGCCTCTCCGTTTGATATTGTTTGGATAACGTTTGTTAGTTATTAATAAAACTTGTCAGTACTAGGTACTGTTATGGTGTGACATGTGACACAGGAAGCAGATACAGACCCATTTCGATGAAAGTTTTATTTTATATTAAATATATTACAATACTGAATGATGTAAGAAAGAAAATATGGGCATTGATTTTTGCATTGTCTGTCTATGTACAGCACACAGAGGAAAAGACTGCAGGAGATTGATGTGCGTTAGGTGCAGTACATGCCCTGAAAGGGAGGGGGGGCAACAGGTCGGTGGATGTGAGTGGTGGGGGGTTTCTGACGGCGCCGTGCACGTGAGACGACCTGCCACGTGGGGGAGGGTCTTGTTTTGGGCTGGAGTTTGGAAGACTCTGTTGTAGGGGTGTCAGGACAGTGAGGTACGGCGGTCTGGAGCCAACAGATACTGGGAGCTGGGCTGTACCCCCCCCCCCACGCATTGGGGCATATCTGATCCCTGGGCCACTGAAAGCATGGGGGGAGGGGAGCTGAAGGCTCATCATAACCTACGTGCACTATTGCTTTAAATGTCAGCACTCCCCCATCACTCAGAGAGTACCAGGGGTGGGGCCCCGCAGAACTCTGCTGGGGGCCCCTTGTGTCAGTGGTGTGGTGCTACTGCGGTCTGAATTTGCCTTATTTGCTCACAGAGCCGCAGTCCAGCCAACTAACCGGCCTCCCACATACATCCGACTGCACAGATCCTGGGACTGAAGCAAGTACCCATGTGGGAGTTAGAGCGGAATAAACGGGCAATGTCATTATATAGGACGCTTTAAGGTAACGGCACAGTAGTATGAATCCCGTATTGTGATCTTACTATAATATTGTATACAGCTGCTTTTGTTCTCATCACCAGTGCCCATACTAAAAACGAAAGCATATTCATTAAGATACAAACAGCAGGCCTAATAAACATTGCAAACCCACACGGGGGACGCGCCGTGTCCCGCCGAGCATCTCCGCGGTACCGCCCGTGTCGGGGCACGGTGACAGTGCCATCTCCCATGTCACCGTTTCATATTTAGTATTCCCGGGTGACTAAAAAAATAAACGGTGCTCAATAGGCAATACATTCTTTTGTGAAAAACAACAGAAAAATAACACAGCTTAATTTACGGCAACAATGCAATAATGTCCGATGTAATCCATGAATTTCTGCTTGATGCTTCACCTTAGAGAAACAACTCGCACACAAACCTTAAAACGGAGGGTGATACTTCTCGGTACTTATGACTGTATTAAAAAAGAGGACATACTGCATATTTCACAATTTACAGGACATTTTCATATATATATATAAACAAAAATGCTTGTATGAAATGCTGCTTTTATCAAAAAAATCCCCATTAGGTCCTCCCACCCCCCGTCGAACACCTTGAGAAAACTGTACACTTTCCACGCCCCCCCCCCCTAACTCCCCGTCAAGGTGGACCTGCTCTCGCGGCGGACCGTCTCGCGCTTCTAGGCATTCACGGTGATCACGTGATCCGCTTTAACGGGCCAACCCGGCCTCTTAAACCAGCACACGTGACTTCTTAAAGATCAGGCAAAAAACTTGTAAATTTACATTCTTTGAGAAAGAAAATGAACCTGAAATCTGTTTACAATCAGACAGGAAATACTGTAATCGGAAGAGTAAAATAAAAAAAATAAACGGTGAACTTAACTATGTTTGGGGCAAAGGTCTAAGAGAGGAGCGAGACGTTTTTTTTTTTTTTTTTGATGCATTCTAAAAGGTGCCCTTAAAACACTGCCCTGGTGACCTGTACATATTTACAACCAGCTCCAGAAACCCAGGTGAGATGTCGGGCGTGGCGGGGCTGCGTGTGACCTGCGACTAGCTACGATGCTAAGATGCAAAAGGCGTAGCGGCTCGTCGGGAAGCCTAACGGAAATAAACTTTAACGGCTTACATAACTGCCACCTTCCACATGCTGTCCCCTACTGAGTTTCGCTTATTTTTAAACACTACAAGGAGTCGATAAACAGAGGTTAATCATGCATACAGTGTTTATTTCTACAGCGGCTGCGTGCTTCAAAATGTTAAATAGATCCTGCTTACAATTACCTGTTCGAAATACATCGAATAGAGCACCAATCGAAACGGAGCGATTGTGTGGGATGCCTGGGGAAGGGGTCATTTAGAGCCCCCTTGCTGTTTTTTTGTTATATTTATTAATTTACGTGTTAATTCGCTCATCTTCCGTGGGACTGGCTGGCGCGATCGGACGCTAAAGTTGCGCTATTCGATGCACAGAGGTTCAGTCAGCTTGGCGCTGTAGCGCCCCCTGCAGGGCGGGCTGGTCCGGGACGTCTTCGCCACGTCCTCTTTTTAGGTATACGTTTTGCATTGTCCCTTCTTTTCATTCATATAAAAGCAGACAAAAATGTAGTTCTTAAGTGTTGCTGAGCAAATACGAGGGACCTTATATCGATGTTTCCCATAGCTGTAGTGGGACAGAGGGAAAAAAGCAAAATTATGTCTAGAACAAGTTCCACTTTTTCCTGAGCATGAGGCCATAAAGAGATGTGGGGAATTACCCTGGCATTTTGCTTGCTGGCCTTCCTCTCTTCGTCCGGGAGGGGGGGCATGGGGTAAGGGTATCTCCTACTGGAAGCGATGGATCCGGTGGATGAGGTGGGTGACTTGGCTGGGGAGAGCGTTCTGTGGTAGGAGGGGGACAGGGGGGCCAAGGAAGGCGTGTCACACAGAGTCACCCCCGGCAAGGACACATTCAGACACAGCGCTGGTCTGGCCCCGTCGCCTGACCCTCGCATACCCCCTGCGGCAGTGTGCCACAGACACGCCTATCCTGAAGGAACCACTGCCTCGCCTTCGCTAACGAGGGTGGGTCAGAAGGGGGGCATCTGTCCGCCACCCAAACCAGCAGCTGGGCGGTAACATCCAAGCGAAATGCTCATAAAATCAAAAACATGCCCACTGGTGTTAGGGAAGTTTTCCCCCCCCCATTCCTCATCCGTGATTCACCCAAAATGATTTTGCTCTCAGAAATGCGCTTAAGGGAGTCTGGTAAGGGGGCGGGGAGATGAGGCAGAGCAGGGACAGACCAGGCTGATGGGCATGGACTCACAGTCAGCGGGGCACCGGGAGGGGGCGGAGCCAAATGGCAAGCTGGACTGCACCATGGAGGCGGCAGGGCACACACAAAATGACACTCCACATGCAGCGGAGAGAAAAGGAGGCACTGCGAGGGAACCACACGATGATGATGCTATAGCAACCATGCCGGGGCCTAGTGAGGGTGTTGCTGAGCGACATGGGACAAGGCGTAGCGAGCATGACAGGTAGTGGGTTTCTGTCTCCTCTTGTACTCATTTCCATCTCAGACTGTTATCCAGTCTCTAAAATTTGATCCTTATGGCAAATATTGGGCTGTTTTCTTATTTTTTGCACTGTAAATGTGCAAAGAATTGAGCTTTACAAAAGAGTACATAGAAAAATATTTTTCGGTGAGAATTAAGGCATCAATTTAACACTCTGTGTCAGGAATAACATAACATACGGTTACGTGCATGTATTCATTAATAAGGAGCGAGTTAAGTAATGGGTCCTTTTAAAAACAGACAACTAATTGGCCCTTAACAAAGCATCCTGGGAAATAAAAAGAACAGCCAATGAAAAAGGACAGCATGCATCCAATCATGTCACTGTCTGTCTTCTAAGCAGTTTAGCCTGACATCAAGCATTGAGACTGCTGGGGCTGAATGAACGGCCTCAGTGTCAGTGTTCACATGAGCCTGGCTGCGGAGGGACCGGTACGTCTGCAGACGCTGTCCATGCAGCAGGAGGACACCAGGACTCTGTGCACGAGTGTGAGCCAGTGAGGACAATCAAGATGGATGCATGCAAATATTGTTTTTAGGGGTGAAATTAGCACAACCGCATTTCTGGCGCAGGGGAAGCCATGGGAACCCCCCCCCCCATGAAGGAACCAGCCCAGGCCAAGCACCAGGAGTGACTTTGAATTCTCTGGCTACAACAGAACCAACAGACAAGGACACATGAAGGAGGACAGGGGGGGGGGTATGCGGGGGCTTCACAGCATGATCTGATTAAAATACCTAAGAAACGGTCCTTGAGTGTTTTTATTCACATCTTCTAGCCATTTAGTTACATAATACTCTGTTTTGAACCATGGGCTTAAATACCTGCAGGGGGATGGGGACAGGGTGGGGTGGGGTGGGGGGGGTGATGATGAACAGTAGAGAGAGCAGAGGTGGAATAAGAGAAAAGCCTAGAGCGGCCCATGGAGTCTCACTCTGCCCCCCCAGATCGCCTACATGCTCTGTACTGTTTACATCAGGCAGCAGAATGCAGTGTTTCTCCAGTGTTTCTCCAGTGTTTCTCACGGCAGGGTTGGCCCAATCTGCCATGACATTAAGGAACATCTTATTATGATCACCCGCTCACTTTGTAGTCTTGAGGGTGGAAAACCCAGGTTTGGACCATACTGTCACTCAGTGATACCCCCTACAGGACCTCGCTGGCCGTGATGAAACACTGACTGTGAGTTTCACACATTTGCCCAGCAATAACACTTTGAAGTGTCTCCTAGTCAATGGTGCAGTTGGCAGAGGCTAATTGATGGCAGAAAGAGCCACCCCCCCCCACACTGGATTACGAGAACATGCCCATATAGATGGTTTCTCATTTTCTGGGATGGTGACAGATATGCATCAAAATATTGAATTCTATACATTTATTTTTAACATCCAATTATATTTAACTATTTAAATTTTGTTTGGCAAAAATGTTAACTGGGCTTGGGAATGCTTGAACCCCTATTACTCTGGCCCCCGTGAAACCCGACACAGCCCTCCGCACGCATGATGCTACTTACTCTGTAGAGTTGGACCGAGGGCGAAATTTTCTTCCCTTCATCTTCTTACGGTTGCCCCCTACATTTCCTAGGAGACACGGCATCATGAAGCGCACCATACTGACTATTCATTAAAGTCCAACATTATGCAAAACCTGGAAGTTCAGCGTGTGAGAGTTACCTTGCCAAGAGTTACTTCTGGGTCGTCCGTTTTCACAGACGTCTGAGATGTGCTTGGCATCTGGAATTCGCTCACTCCACGAATGGGACAAGCCGTTTGACCTTCAGCCAAAAAACGTGAAAATATAAAGGCAACTACTAATTGCTCCATGGATTTTTTACATTTCTGTGACAATTTTCCCTGTGATATGCAGAAAGCTAAACTTTGTTGTTGATTTTTGGAGATACAAACCCATTTTTCTTGTCAGTTTTATGCTAGATGAAGTCAGTTATGCATCTGCAGTATATCATTATCTGGCCTGTAGTGCCTTAATGACTTACCTGAAAACACTTTATTTACTGTGCATCCCTCTGTTACCTACACACACAGTACAGATATACAGGAGAACTCATGTACATACACACACAGTGATGTCATGGACAACGGAGATGAGATGGAAACAATACAGAGAGAGCAAGATGAGCCGTTAGCATGAAAACACAGAGCGATCAGCATGACAGCTGAAATGAGCAAAGCAGCCAAGCTTAGATGAACTGTATGAGCAGTTCATCCTGATTGGCCCACAAGTAGGTTGACCTGTGTGAACGGCACATCCCAATTGGTCCGCTTATGGGCTGACCTGTATGAACAGCACATCCTGATTGGTCCATTTTGTGGGCTGACCTGTACAAACAGCTTGTCCAAACCAGCAGCAGTCTGCCAGCAGGCTGGTCTCCATGAGTGTCACTCTCCAGGCAACAAATTGGCACATCGTTAACCTCCTGATGGGACATGCTGGGCTGTTGGAATGAGGACTTTTCTTGTATGTTCTTGTATATGTCTGTGTGTGCATGTATGTACATGAGGGAGTCTGGTTTGGCCTTTAACATCAAACTGCACTGCAGCCCAAACTGATTGGCCTGAACTGACTCCAGACTGCTGATCATTCTGCCTGGCAGACACAAGCGGCTGGGCTTCCTCCTGTTACAGGGGCTTCCGAGCCGGTGCTTCTCAGGTGCGATGTCGAGTTTGTGTGTTTGGCTACAGTTGGCATTCTCTCATTTCTGGAGCGACTCATTGTCCGTGAGCCCCTGACCACTACGGCTGTGAACCCAGGACCGGGAGGACAGGGTTTTCGTCGCCGTGGCGTTTTGGGGAGACGTCGCTGCGGAAACATCAGCCACGGTTCCAACACACAACACAAACACATCGTTAGAAGCATGGCCGGCCCTTCTCTTCGCCCCCCTGAACCTGCCCCCCACCCCTATGGCAAAGCGGCCAATCTTTATGGGTGCTTCCTTTCGGCACTGAAGAGGAGCTGTGATATTCCTGCATTGAGGAAAAACCCATTCTTAAGAGGTACGAAAGTCTTGTGACGGCAGCCAACCCGGGGCGAGGAAAAGGGCGCTCGGCGACCAGCCAATGGGAGGTGGGAGGTCGGAAGGGAGCCGCCCACCTGAAGCCAAACAATGAGATGTTCTGACTAATGGAGGGAACAGATGGTGTGAAGGAGCAGGTATAGATCTGCAAGTGGGACAGACAAGCCGACCTCTTCTTTGAGCTACTGGCCGAGTTGGAGCTGACGCCAGGAGGCATGTCGCTGTAGAAGGAGTCCGCGTCTCCCGCCTTTTTAACATAATCCCCGGGGGGGGTTTGCCTGTAAACAGAGGGGGACAGGCAATGACATTGACCTTTATTTATTATTACTTAGGTGCACTTTATTACTCAAGTATTTTCTTATAACTTTTTGTAGATTTTTTCTTATTTTTGTTATTCTTCTACCTTGTTTGTTCATTATTTCATCTCACTGCTGGTGTACCAGTACATTCATGCATGTGACAAATAAAAATCTCCAATCAGAAGTAACATACATCTGAGAATGCAGGGTCAGTGTAGGACTGCTTCAGTAGCTGAGGGTTAAGGGCCTTGCTCAGGAGTGACATCACTCTGCCAGTTATGGGATTTAAACCAGTAACCTTCCAGTTACTGCTATAGCACCTTAACCCACTGAGCCACACATCACCACCAATACAGGCATCGAACCCACCACCTTGGTGTTATTATGGTATCAGCACAGCGCACGATGCACCAACTGAGCTAACCGGCCATGGTGATGGTAGAGGAGCAATCTGCCAATCTGCATCTCCCAGCCACCAAGAGGGGCCCTCATATCCAGATCAGCAGCACATTCCATTCATCTGTCAGTAGACAGCAAATTCAGGGGAAAAGAAAGCTTGTGTTTTATCCAGAGCAGGGCTGCCAGCCTGCAACGCAGTTTGCAGATTTTCCTGCTCAAACACACCTACTAAACCTGGCAATTAGCTGGTGAGCTGCAAAGAGCAGTGAAATCTGTGAACTGCATTGCAGACTGGCTCTCCAGGACCAGAACTGTGGCCTGTACTACGAAGCGGGGTTACTGGCTTATCGGGGTAACTTGTCGGATTTAAGGTACCACAGTTTAAATGGACTTCATATTCGTTCAGTTACATTTTGCCCAGACTACCTTAAATCTGACAAGTTACCCCGATAAACCAGTAGCCCCACTTCATAGTACAGGCCCCTGGGCTGCGCTGATCTATAGGAATGCCATTCAAGAGCCCAGAAAGGGGGGTAATTGAAAGTAATTGAAGTAATTTCAATAAAGTAATTGAAAAATAGTAATTAATTAACTGAAAAATAACAATTAAGTAATTGAAGGTACAACGTAAGTCACCTGTCTGACTGTGAAAGAGCATCACCCAGACTGTCTCTACACAGCTGAAATGTGTGAGACAGGAGGCTCACTTTGCTGTGAAAGAGCATCACCCAGACTGTCTCTACACAGCTGAAATGTGTGAGACAGGAGGCTCACTTTGCTGGAGGATTCACTATTTATTCTACTGGATATCTTACGGTTCATCCATGTTTTTGTTGACCTACCTCTGGCACAAACCTCATCTCCTGCTAAACAGCAGGAAAAGCACTTTTACTTTAGATCATTTCAGAACCAAAGCAAGCAGTTTAGTCAATGCATTCATCCAACCTCTACAGGTACAAAGCTTCATCAACTTAATAAAAACTATTTTATTGTACATCAGTCTATTTAGCTTCATGTTTCTCGAGTTCCACCCCCCCCCCCGCCCCCCCAACTCCTGGCCACCCGCACATGTTAAAGAATAATTCCATCAAACATAATGAGGCAGCCAGAGGACTCAGCTGGCCGTCTGGAAAATCCATGTGAATAATCTTGTTTTCTGAGAGGCAGATGCTGAGGCTAGTGGGGAGGCTTCTGAGGACAACACAGGAGAAGAGGGGGAACTGCGAAATGTATCAGCAGAACGAAAGAACAGTGACGATGAGAACAGGCACAACGCAACCAGACACAAAGATATTAGTGACACGACGGCAAATAATTAAAATGATAAGACAATGCTAATATGAATCATAACATGCTTTTTAATTCATATATACAAAAATATACAAATACATAATGCATGATAAAAAAACAAAGAAACAATGGAAACAGACATTGAAATTCAGAAACTCCTGGCTGTGGGTGAGTCAGACCCTGTGGGTGAGTCAGACCCTGTGGGTGAGTCAAACCCAGTGGGTGAGTCAAACCCAGTGGGTGAGTCAGACCCTGTGGGTGAATTAGACCCTGTGGGTGAGTCAAACCCAGTGGGTGAGTCAGACCCTGTGGGTGCGTCAGACCCTGTGGGTGAGTCAGACCCTGTGGGTGAGTCAGACTCTGTGGGTGAGTCAGACCCTGTGGGTGAATTAGACCCTGTGGGTGAGTCAGAACCTGTGGGTGAGTCAGACCCTGTGGGTGAGTCAGACCCTGTGGGTGATGAGAGGCTTGTTACAGGAAGCTGCACAGAGACCAGCAGACAAATAACAGCAGAAAGGAGGTTCAGCCAAGGCTGGGGGCTGATCACCCTTCATCTCCAGTCTGCCTCTACTCTCGCTTTCTCTCTATCAATGGCTCTGCCAGAGGAAAAATGCCCCCCGTCTCTGCAAACAAGACCACAAGACAGTTTGAAGCATTTTCTGGGGAAAGACCCCCCCCCACCACCGCCCCACCACCCGAGAGGAACATGAGTGTGAACCAACCGGCAGAATCTTCTGTGCACCTCGGACTCCTCGTACCTCCGCTGCCGGTAATTCCTGGTGCATGGGGGGAAGGGGGGGGTTACTGAGGGTCACTCGCAGGATCACACTGGACCTGTCATGCCTGTATTTTGTACTGTTGGCTTACAAATATAATTGTCACATATTCTGTCTGAAGGTACAAAAGCAGCGCCGTCGACTTCCTGGCTCGGCTGTGGCTCCCTGTAGACTTACTTATATCCCCAGGCTGTGATGCCCATGACGAGCGCCAGCACCAGGACGGTGCCCGCGATCACCCCGATGATGATGTTTGTGCTGATGACTCCTGCAGGAAGAGAGGAGCGGAGGGCGAGTCAGAGGGCGGCCCACACAGTGAGTCCCCACGCCGCCCTGGAGTCCCCACGAGGTGCTCCCTGAAGGTGGCAGACTGATGGAGGGTCAGCAGCCCCACGACACACCAGACACTGGGCGTTCCTGGACTTAATGCTTCTCAAAATTCCTCGAGCTTAGTATCAGGGGTGGGGTGGGGTCCCACGGAGGGCCAATGTAGGTGCGGGTTTTTGGGATGACTTCTAAATCAGCCAATAATAAAACAGTGTTTCTCAGCTCCAGTCCTGGGACCCACTGTTATTGGCTGATTGAGAGGTCTTCCCAAAAACCCGCACCGGCCCTCCCATGGATCAAGGTCACCTCTGCATTACATCATATGCATATTCAGTTTTACAGTTTATCACTATTTCGGAATTTTAATTGTTTTGTCATACATTTGTGTTAGATCATAAATGCTGGACTTCTGTTTTAAAGTTTTACTGAAATAAAAAACAGAGAGTTTTTTCGGAGTACATATGTGTCAGCAAAAGGACCTACAGCTTGTGATTTTACACTTAACTCCATCGTAAAAGCACAATCTTTTACGTAAATAAAAATATTTACTTAAAAGTAACAGTAAACATTCTCAATATATACAGACCTAGATGACCTCTTAAATCAAAAGATACATTTACATATAACAACCTAGATGATAAGATAAAACACACTAAGCACTGTAAAATGTGTTTTTTGATGTTTATACATATTTGCAGTATATGTCTATAAAACACCATACGGAATGTTGACAGTGAAAAGCCACTGACGGGCTGAAGCGTCAGGGCTGGGTATACAGGGACAGGCTTGGTAATAAAGACCCTTTTAAACTGTTTTGTCTTTGAGATGCAGTGTCTGGGTCATCGGCTGGTTATGGCTTCATGACCCCACGGTTCGGATGTTTCAGCCTTATCACTGCTTTCATGCCGTCATCCCAAAGCACGTGGGCGGTTTGTCCCTGATTAGCCGCCACAGCATGATCACATGACCATGCGGTTTGGCAGACTGAACCTGCAGGATTCACCGAAATTACACAAAAAGACAAATAAAGCAACACGTTAACAGTGAAACACTAAAGTTAAGGTCTTTCAGAGAAGGAACGAGGGAAAATTCATACCAACTACTGCACAGGGGACAACTGGAAGATGCCGGTAAGTAAAACTGGGCACTTCATTAAGGCCCAGAGGAGGGACTGGGGATAAAAGGCTCGGTGGGCTGTGGGGCACATCGGTGCAGGGGGCAGGAGCGGCACAAACAGGACGGCACAGCAAAGAAGAACTGAAGTCTAACCTCACTGACACACCACTCAAGAAATCCAACACAGACACGAGCCTGTCAAATGAAGAACACGCAGGGGAATCACTCCCAACGCAAAGTACGGCACAAGGTCACGAGGATGCAGACGCTCCAGCAGAAGGCCCCGCCCCAGCCAATCCCCTCCAGACAAACTATTTTACAAGTACCCATATACCCCCAGCTGCCTAGTGTCTCTTGGGGGGTGTATGTATACCACACAATATTGTTAATTGTATTAATTTATGAATATAACAGGGTTATTCTAATAGTTCAGGGCTACTCCACCAACAAGCATTTTTATCATCCTGGACTTTCCAATCACATCTCACAGTCCGCTTCCTGGCCCCGCCCCCCTCATGAGGCTCCACCTACCAGAAGCTGAAGCTGTTGGGCCCACGACCAGGGAGCTGAGAGGCAAGGTGGCGTTGCAGTCGTCCCCAGTCCAGCCCAGGTAGCACACACACTTCAGCTCGTTACTGCACACCTGCGGCGCACATACACACCCGCACACACACACACACACACACACACATACACACACACCCGCACACACACACACACCCGCACACACACACACACACACACACACACACGCGAGCACACACACACGCGCGCACACACACACACACAAGCACACACACCCGCACACACACACACATGCACACACACCCGCACACACACACACACACACACACACACACACGCAGCAGATGCAGGGTGTTAAAGGCTTAAACGGCCGATTCACATTAAAACACATTAAGCTTCTTTTTATATGATTGCCATGTTACCAATGACCAAATATAAACACTTAAATTTTATTTCCTCAGCCAATCAATTGCAACATATATGATCTTTGTAGAGAAAACAATAGTTTCTCAGAGCAATTAAATAGTAATCAATTCAGTTATACTAAACATTATGCAGGATTCTTTGTTAACAATACTATAGTAATTCAATAACACTTTGCTTAAAGCAACACATTACGCGACAACACTCAGACACGCGTGGCAGTGCGCGGACGCCTGCTCCTCAGACACGCGGCGGAGCGCGGACGCCTGCTCCTCAGACACGCGGCGGAGCGCGGGCGCCTGGTCCTCAGACACGCGGCGGAGCGCGGACGCCTGCTCCTCAGACACGCGGCGGAGCGCGGGCGCCTGCTCCTCAGACACGCGGCGGAGCGCGGACGCCTGCTCCTCAGACACGCGGTGGAGCGCGGACGCCTGCTCCTCAGACACGCGCGGCAGGGCAGTGTCCTCACCCCGTGCCCGGAGCAGATGGTCCTGTCGTTGGTGCCCGGGCAGGTGCTGAAGTTGAACTCCTGTACCGGGAGGCAGCGGTGCTCGAAGCAGATGCGGTCGGTGGCGCAGGCCGTCCCGTCTTCCACGTAGCCCAGGTCCGTGTCCCCGTCGATAATCACGTGACCCCCGCTGTCCCGGGACACAGAGGTGCGGTCATTCCTCATGCCGGCACCAGGACCGCGGCGGTCTGAAAGCTGCCGTTTGGGCCGCCGCTGCCCCCACTGCCTCAGCTGACCGGGCTGCCATATGGGGGCACCTGTCTTACAATAACATGTCTCACCCCAAAGCTGCCCCCTTCAGGCTGAGGCTACACATTCAGACCCGGGGTGGGAATCAATGGACCACTTGACCATTTTTTATGCAGAAGACCAGTGTCCTTACAAAGACCACAAGCTGGAAGCTAAACACAGACACTGCTGTGTCGTTTATAGGAACATATAGGTCACTCAGTAGAGTTCAGGAAATCCGATGAAGCACAAAGGGCTTCAGAGGCATGAAAATCGGGTTGTGGAAATGGCACTGAATCTGACGCGTCCCAGAGGACTCGTATCCGAAAGAGGTGGACACTGTGCATACTGAGGTTTATTGGGGGGCTGGGGAACAGAGAAGGATGGGCTCAACAGATGATAGAGAGATACAGGAGAGACTTATGTTCTTGGGACTGAGGTATAGGGAGGAGTGAGGAGAAGAGAAGGAGGAGAGATGAGGAGGGACGTGAGGAAGATGTGTGATGGAGAGGTTTGGTGGCATGAATTGGACAAAAGCCTGGAGAGGTGGGATAAAGTTTGAGGTGGAGGAGGGATGGAGTTTGGGCCGTACGAGGGGGGGGACTGACCTGCAGTCCAGGGAGGCACTGTGCTGGGCCACGGAGAAGGAGGTGAGGCCCCCCTGCAACTCCCCCAGCCGAGGCGTGGGGGCGATGTTGGAGCACAGGAGGTAGCCGCACTGCACGTCCCTGGAAGAGGCGTGGGGGTCAGCCAGAGGGCACAGGCCCAGACGCACCGAGTTCAGCCAAAACCTTGCGTCCCCCATGGATGCGCTGGGGCTGTAATCGCCCGGGACATTCGGACCCGTGCCAGATGCCGGCTGCAGCGCTTACTGCTTGTTGCACTGGATCCAGGTGTCCTTGTCCCTGCCGCAGTTCCCCTTCTCTGTCCCCTCGATGTTCAGCTTCTCGTAGCAGAACTTGTCAGCAGAAGTTGCTTCTGCAAAGAGTGCGTGAGGTTGTTAGACGCGTGGGGCAGTGGCCGGCGGTTGCGGTTATGGTCGCAGTCACGGTCATAGTCACAGTCATGGTCGCCATCACGGTAGCGGTGGCACTCACTCTCTCCCCAGATGTATTTACACTGTCTGTCCCGGGTTTTGCACTTTCCGTTGAAGCAGCGACCCTGACATCAGAAAGACGACAGCGGATATCCTGTGAGCTTCGGCTCTGCTTAAAGGTGACAAGTCCCGCATTTCCAGCTGAACGGCCCCATCTCCTTTGACAAAGTGTGAAGTTGTTACCTGGTCTTTCTCACAGGTGTACCCGTCCATTTTGTGGACGTTCGGTGGACACTGTGAGATAAAGCAAATGAAATTTTCTATAGGCACATCTACAGGGGCTACTTGGTAACTAGGTTACACGATAAAAGATGTAAAAGATGTGTACAGTAAAAGATGTGACAGCAGCGCCCTCACCTGGCTAGAGTTTCCGGTGCAGATCTCTGGGATGTCGCAGTCGTTCACAGCATCACGGCAGATCACGCCCATGAACTCCAGCTGCAGCACACGGAGACAGACTGTCACCTCATTGGCTGACGCACCTTTACACACGTCACATGACTTCCTATAGGATCACTAACACCTTCAGTTGTCAGTTTGAAGGGTTTTATATTTCCTCGTCATTTTGCCGTCATGAGACACACAGACATATATACAGGTGAGAGCAAGTTTGGGGGTCGCAGTGCAGGGTTAGCCAACGTGCAGCACCCCTGGAGGGGGGGTAGGGGCCTTGCTCAGGGGCCCCGCGGTGCCATCTCTCTGCCTGTCACCCCCCACCCCTGGTTCCCCCGCTCGGCACTGCCTTTCATACCTGACAGTTCTTACAGCACAGCCCGTCGCTGCACTTCGAGCCCTGGGTCAGGGTGCACTTCTTACAGCAATTTTCTCCCTCCTTCTGGCACTCCTGTAGGGGAACAGAGAGAGAGACAGGGTACACACTCCTGTGGGGGAACAGAGAGAGAGACAGGGTACACACTCCTGTAGGGGAACAGAGAGAGAGACAGGGTACACACTCCTGTAGGGGAACAGAGAGAGAGACAGGGTACACACTCCTGTGGGGGAACAGAGAGAGAGACAGGGTACACACTCCTGTGGGGGAACAGAGAGAGAGACAGGGTACACACTCCTGTAGGGGAACAGAGAGAGAGACAGGGTACACACTCCTCCATCATTCCAGTGGTCATTCCAGTAGTCACCTTTTCACAACCCAGCATCATTCAGACATCGCCCCCAGTCCCCTTCCCCCCCCCCGCCCCCCATGATCCTGTCCCAGCATCCCACAGCCGGGGTCACATGATCCGCACGACTTACCGCTGGGCTGCCGCAATCACACTCCTCGCCCGGCTCCACGAACCCATTGCCACACTCGGGGGGGTCCAGCAGCTGCAGGAGGGCATGAAGACGTGGGGGGGGAGGGGCGGGGTCGTTAGCTCTCATTGTCAAAGGGCGCGCACATGCACGGCGTGGTCTGGAGGGACAGGCTAACCTCGGCATGCTAACCTTAGATTCATTATACGTTTCAGATCATTCTCCAGTTTTGCAGGATTTCTGTACACATCCGACGCTGGTACCAGCCACCCACTGTGCCCCCTTTTACCTCTCAGTCCGGTTAAATCCCCCCGCGGGCAGGACACCCGGCTGTCCCAGCTGCAGTGTGGCCGTTACCTTGGACGGCTTGTTGAACAGGCAGGCACCGCCACCGCTGTTCAGGAAGTTGTGGTACTCCTCGATGTTACAGTCCGAGAAGCGCTTGGGCAAGTAGAAGCTGCGTTGGAGGACAGAGACAGGGCGCAGTGAACGGCGGGCGGGGGTGCCGGCCCGTGTCTCCGCCCTGACACGCCCTTAAAGGGGCTGTGCTCAGTGTACTGTGTCCCGTCAGACTGTCGACCTCTGTCCCTAGCTGCACTGAGGCCAGGCCGCTCCTCGCCGTTGCATGGAGGTCACATGACAGGTCACATGATTGTCTTCCTTTACGCCCTTAACCTTCATACGCCACTCTTCAGAGTGATAAACACCAAAGCACACAAGCCCACTGCTGACTGAACGTTAAAAATTCATGCAAAACCCACATTAACACTGTTTTTAACCAGCTTCAGCTCCCTCTGCAAGCCGAAAGAAAGGAAACCTACCATCTTCATCACACAGGACCGGCTACAACACTGAGAATGCTGGGAACTACTTCCAGAACATTCTAAACTGCAGCCTGCACAAGAGTTAGGTCCACTTCCGCTCATTTGGGATCAACGATCCGGAACTAATTGGTTCTGTGGCCGAACAGTGGGTTTATCCTCTGCTGTCATACACAAGTGTATCAAAAGAAGGACATAAACAGAGATGGACTGCAGACAGTAACGGAAAGACAACTAGACATATTTATGTCAAATCAAGCAACACGAGAGGTCCCTGCATAAAGCCCCCCCCCCCCAGGGACACCTACCCAGGATCTAATCCAATCACTCACCTTCATTTCTGTATTATGTCACACCCAGGGGGTGCATGTACCAACCAGCAGCCAAGGGCAACTCTGGGGTAACTAAGCCAACAGGGTGTTATATCACAACAATGTGCACAAGTGACGATTATCGCCGTGGCAACAGCAACACCATATGATCTATGTTACGGCATCTTATTCTGGACAAGTCCACATCCTAAAAGTGTAGGGGGAACAGTCAGCCAAATGATCTCTGGCCAAAATCCAACTGCTCCTTAATTTTAGCTTCACCCCCATAAACGGGATGGAAAGGCCACCCTGAAGAACCAGGTGGTTGGACCAAACCTCATGCCCACAGACCAACCTCAGGGCCTTCTGGGAATTGTAGTGCTTCGTCAGAGTTACACACCAGCGCACAGTCACCACCAGCTACGTCTCTTCTGGCCTTTCTGCACATGACGCTCTGGTGTGCCAGTCCCAGTCCCAGTCTCTGTATGGGTGCCTGACGTTTCCAGTCTCACCAGTTTCCCTGCCCCTAAGCCAAAGCATCCAGAGGAAGCACATGGCACTAAGGCTGAAAGTGTGAGTCCTCCAAAGCACACCATTACGTCTGGGAATCCCGGCTCGTGCAGCACAGGCATGGTGACAGTAAGAGCTGAATTCCACAGGGGGGGGGGGTGAGGGCAGCCCGCTGGGCCAGACGCTCGTGAACTAGTCACCAAAACACAAGAGAGTTCATTTCACCTGGACGGTGTTCAGCACTGAGAGAGTGAGTGAGGAGTGTGCCAGGGATTAGTACATCAGATCAGGCATGCAGGTACAGAAGAACAAGTGGGGGGGTCGATGGAGTGGCGAGGGGGTGGTTATTTCAGGATTCCCCATTGAACACAGACGTCTGAAACACCATTGGCACTTTGGAGGGGCTCTGATTCACAGCAGGATGTGAGTTGTTGTGTGGGGGGGGGGGGTCATCGCAGCCCCCTCCACGTCACAGCAGGACAGCCGCCCGAGTTTCCTGGGCTCACAGCCGTCCTGCCGGCCCCATAGAGCCACTGGAGAGCAGCCACAGCCAAAGGACAGGGGTGACAATGGAAAAGAGGCAGGAAGCGAAACAGGACAGCTCGCACTGGAGCCAGTGAGG